GTGACAAGAAGAAGCTTTTATGAAACACATCCTCATGTTGGTCCATGACGGTGCAGATCCCAGAGATGAGGCCACCATAGCAGAGACCCGACAGGTTTTGCGGCGTCATGTTCTCGTGTTCTGTTAGACTCCCCTGTGGTTCCCACTGGGCCTACAAGTCTCCATATGGTTTCTAATGTTAGACTCACTCAGACCTCGTGCCCTGGTTCCCGAGCACGAGCCCACCGACACACTGATAGAGTGAATCAATGACACCCACCAGCGTTACGACGGCGTCTGCTGCTGACTGAGGTGACTGATGATGAAGCGTGCTCAGGACATGTTGTTGGACATGTGTGAACTGTCTTCTGGCTGTTCCTCAGGTCTGTCGGTGCTGCAGAGGATCCTGGACACGGCGGCCGAGCGCGGCTGGCAGGTCACCTCCGTCAACCTGGACACGCTGACCGAGGCCGCCTTCATCAAGCTGCTGGCCGACCTGGACTACAAGAAGGACTTCCAGATCATCATCGACTGCGAGCTGGAGCGCCTCAACTCCATCATCAACCTGGTAAAGCTCCGACCAGAGCGTCAGTTAGTACGAGATGGTAAATGGTCTGCACTTAGATAGCAGCACTCAAAGCGCTTTACGATGTTTCACATTCACACACATTCACACACTAATGGCCACAGAGCTGCCATGCAAGGCGCTGCCTACCATCAGTGTCTGTAGAGGGGCCGGGGATCGAACCGCCAACCTTACGATTAGCTCTACCACCTGAGCCACAGTCGGCCTAATGCTGAACAGAGCAGGCTCACCTCTGACCTCCAACCAGCTCCTGTCTCATGTTCCTTCACTGAGGTTTCAACATAAAGTCAGTCATGAAGGAGGAGGAGAGAACTCAGAGATGTCTTCTGTCAGCAGGACTCAGGTAGAACCCTGGAGACCAGAGAGAAGAACAAGAAACATGGTTCCTCAGATGTTAAACCCCGGAGCTGACGTTGTCTCCTCATAGCGTAGATGTTTCACCGTTTCTAGCCTCTGATTTCAGTTTGTTTGTGTCGTCTTATTTCTGTTTGTTCTCATTCATGTCCTCATGTTACTGCCCTCTCCTCGTCCTGCAGATGTTGGACCATCTCCATGTCTCCAGACTTTTCCTGAGTCAGTGGTAGAGGATCAGAACCAGGAGGGGGAAGGTTCTGGTTCTACAGGGTCTGGTGCATACGGTGCATAACAGAAACCAGCGTTCATCAGTCTCGTGTGGTTCGTTAGTCTGAATGTTGGACATCTGATCATTCTTTCAGTTTTTACTCTTTCTGGCATTTTGACATCATTTAAAGACGCCTTTCAGACCTGCTGCTGGGTTTTAGAGCTCAGAGGTCCGCGTGGACCTCCAGCTTCAGGTGGGTTCAGACCAGCTGCTGCAGGACTCCAGGTTCTGGTTCAGGCTGGACGTGGTCCTGCTGCAGGATGAGTTCAGGGCGGTGGGGCTGTGAGCAATCTGGCAGGAAATGAAAAAGACATCATTTAATCTAACAGTTATTTATGAGTCCGTCTCCTTTAATCACAGAGAACACGTCCTCGTTATTTTAAATCAGGATTTAGGAACGTCAGATCCACATTCTTGCCACTAATTTCCCAGCGGACCCTGATATCTGCCTGCTGGCCAACTTCCCCGGCGTCTCGCTGACGTCTCCGAGCCAGAAGACGAAGGTGGAGGGTTGGATCTAATGGTCCATGCGGACGGCGCTGGAGCCACACTGCCTGCTGGTACCGGTGGAGTTCATGTTCTGGCTGGTTCACCGGTTAGTTGACAGAACATCGACAAACTGCAGTTCATCTCCTGAACAGTCTCTCAGTTTATTTATCGCCATGAACTCAGTGTTTATGTTGAGCCGTCGTCCTGCAGACACGTTTCATCACTTAGATCCAGAACCAGAAGCTGGAGCTCATCAGTACCAGCAGCAGAGCGAGCAGCCCAAGGTTAGATTTATATGATTTAATCAGTGGGCATCCATGAAATATACACATAGAATCACCTGCTAGTTGTTTTACTAAAGTATGAGAACATCACGTCGGTGTTCCTACAAAGCTCAGGTTCTGCTGCAGGAACACAAAGTGGATCAGAGGACACGTTGATTCATCAACTACAGAAGCACCTTCAGACGTCTCACTGGTCACGTTAGGAGCTGCGTTTGTACCAAACAGAGCAGCTGCAGAGTTTACATCAGCCAAGAAAAAGACTGAGCGTTCAGGACGATGAAACCAGACGGATCAGAGCTCCTGTATGAATGTCATGACAGCGTCCAAACGGACCACACAGCCTTGTTCTGGCTCACCTCGCCACACTTCAGCTCTGATCTGAGAACATCTACGCTGCTCTCAAGGCTGAGTGTGAAGCTGCAGCCAGGAGGCAGTTAGCGTAGCTTAGCATCACTCCATGGGTGGATTACTAGCCAGGCCCTAAACACTGAGAGGCTGCTTCTGATTACAGCCACGCAAAAGGACACGAAGCTGCCAAGTGAGCACAAGGAGGCTGGATGAAAGGAGCACCACAGTCACCTCCAAGAGCAAGGAGACCAGCAAGAGGTGCAAAACTTCTACAAAGAAACACAAAGGACAGCAAAAATATTCAAAAATAGCAGAAATAAATCCCCACATGGTTAGAAAAGGAAGTGAGCACTGAGAGGCAGGAAACGACTCCTAAGAGACGGAGAGTGACGAAGAACGATCACAAAGACACACAGAAGGAAACCAGAGGCGAGATTCACAACCAAGGGTCGCACAGATAGCTCAGGGACACACAACGACCACCAGGAGGCGCACAATGACAACACGGCGCACAAAACAGGTGCAGCGCGATGCAGACGAGGCCAAACAGGAGCTACACAGGAAGAGCCTGAGGTTCAGATCAGCTGCACCGGTCCGTTGTCTCATCATCTGCTCTTCCATTCATCAGAACGCTGAGCCGGCGCTGCAGGATTCGCTGCTGCTGAACATTTCCTCTCCGCTCGCAGCTGTTTTCTCTGTGTTGGTTTTAATGGGAGCTTTGGTTTTGGCCCGGCTGATAATGGGCCGGCAGCACAGACTCTGGCAGTGAAAAGGACGTTTTAGAAAATGTTGTACAAAGCTGTGAGTCTGAGGAAGGCTGCTCAGCGGGACTCTGGACAGGAACCAGCCTCCGTGTGGGGAACTCGAGTGTCAGGTGTCCTTCTGGACCCGTGACACGGAGCTGCTGGCCTCACAATCCCGTCAAGTTCTGGCTCAGCTCGTTGGCTGGCGTTGGCCTCGACTCCACTGTAATATTATTGGTGCAGCTGAAAGTGAGTTGAAGTCTGAGGCTGGGTTCTGCTGGTTCTGACTTCAAACAGGTGACACCGGCATCAGGACAGACAGAACCAGCAGAGCAGCAGTAAGCTGTAGCGTCAGGGTCGCTGCAGTCGTCTGGAACCGAGTCAGGCCAGGTCCTCATCTGGAACCCACGGTTCTGCCCGTCCGTTGGTCGACGTGTTTGATGTGAGCGCAGGTCGGATCAGTGCCGAGAGCGAAGCCGACAGGTCCGACGGGTCAAAGGTTTAAATGGATTTAACCTGTAGGTCCAGAACCCTAAATCTAAAAAAACGCATATTTTCTTTAAAGATAATCATCTAAATGTGACTGTTTATCACCAGAACCGGTAAGAAGAGAAGGAGTCCTCAGATGTTCTGTGGGCTGTGACGTGTTCTGTCAAGGAACCGGATCTGAGAATCACTTCATTCTATGTGTCTGATTTAAACCGTACGCACCAGACCCAGTAGAACCAGCACCTTCCTCCTCCTGGTTCTGACCCTGTAGAACCAGAAGTCTGGAGACATGGAGATGGTTCAAAATCTGCAGGACGAGGAGACGACAGGACCTCCAGGGTTTAACATCTGGAAGCATGTTGGTAGAAAACGATGTGAAACAACCAAAGTGTGACACAAACAGCACAGAGACGTAAAACAAAGACAACGTGACAGATGGAGAACAACCAGAAGGTGGCACAGAACCACCACAACCACACATCCAGAGACCACCTCTTTGTAGTAAACAGTGAATGGACGCCTCTTCTCTGGTCTCCATGGTTCTGAGTCCTGCTGACTGGAGACGTCTCTGGGTTCTCTCTCCTCCTTCGTGTGGTTCTGATTCCACAGAGCTGCAGGACTTGATGTTGGAGCATGAACCTCAGACTGGTTGGAGGTCAGAGGGTTAGAAGAAGAACCCTGGTGTGTGCAGTGAGCACGTGAAGCAACACGAGGTCTGCTTTGGTGTTCACATGGAGACGCTACAAACTGGTGGAAGTACAACCAGAACATCTTGTCTCCTCCCAAACAGAGCTTATAGATGAACAACGTCCTCACAGTCAGAGCAGAAACATAGAGACCATCCAGGTGCTTTAGCTCCACTCAGCTCTCCACGTCTCACCGTTTGAACAGCAGCGAGAACGTTTATCTCCAGATCTGAGCCACTGGGCTTCTCTGAGGAGTCAGAGAAGAACCAACAGAACATTCAGCCACTGAAGCGAATGGATCTGTTCAGGAGTGAATAACTGTCCTCGACCGTCTGAATCAAGAAATAATAATAATGTGCTTTAGTTTGTTTGCTGTTTTTTGTAAAACAGTAAAATTGAAAATTCCTGGAAAACAACAACAATAATAATAATTAGATTTTATTATTAAAAACACATGATTCTGGCTGAAGAGCTTCTACATGCTGGTGTACTGACCGTCACAGAACCCAGTGGCGGGCTGTGCATGTTCCTCCTGGACCTTCAGTACCGTCCGCTTTCACCTCCACCCATCAGTCCGGTTCTGTCTCCTGGAGGCTGATGCTGACAGTCGGCCTGTCCAGTTCTGGTTCTGACATCAGGTTTCATTTAGAGCTGAGAACGTCGCTCGCTTAACTTAAAGCTTGATGCTTTCATATAAAGTTTGATCTGGTGCAGGTGGCTACAGACAGGAGGCGCTAGCTTTGGCTCTCTGACCGTCCAATCAGAGGACGTGAAAGCGCTGACATCACCGTAGGCCAG